CCCCCCTTTTTCTGCTTAGTATTTTGCGTACCTCGGAACAAACAGACGACGAACATATCGAACCGTTCGTGACGTGCCGTCACCGCCACTCGACGAAGAAATATTGGCGCATCTACAACGCGGCGACCTGCCGCCACCCGATTACGGGTACACCATGGTTAGGGACACGCCACCTTCGTCCGCTGCCGAACGACGCGGACAACGCCCACCGCGCGTGCATACGCGCACGATCATCGAGCTACATTTAGAAGTGCTCAACGAATGTGAAGCAACCGAGTGGGAAAACGTCAAAGACGACTATTTGCAAATACTCGTTGAAGAGTTTATGGGGGGCCCCAACGGACATAGTAGTTGCCCCGATGCTCCTAGCACAAACCAGGATTTATCAGGGAACACTCTTTCAGCCAACGTGCACCCACCCACTGACACCGCTGTAACGGATGCATGTCCACCACATGACCCCGATCCATGGCGTTGTATGGACGCTATACAGTTCGCCACGGACCCTTCTGCTTCTAACGACGAGGACTCCGATCCATGGAGCTGTATGGAAACTATACCGTTAGCAACGGACACTTCTCCACCTAATGACCCCGATCCATGGAGTTGTATGGAAACTATACAGTTAGATGCACAACAGAATGCTCATTCCAACCACAGGGAGGCGACGTCGGACTGCACCACATGGATTAACTGGATTCACCGCAACAAGCATCTATTGCGGGCGTGCACGACGCAGCCGTGGTTTTTGCAATTGAAATCGGATTGGAAACAATATTATCAACAACATGCGACAGACGACGTATCCGGCAACAGTGAACTCAGTGACCAAAGACGTATTGGATGTGTGGAAATGAAAAAAGATGCCTGGAAACAGTGGGTCCAACAGCAACATCGGCAAATGCGTATGTATGGCCAGGAGGAGTGGTTCCAGCATTTGTTGAATAGTGTAGAGGAAGAGACAGTAACGGCAACAGGCGAAAGCCCTGGAGTGGAAACATTAATGGGAAAAGAAGATGTGCTACGAGTGACAGATGCACCACGGACGCAACCACTGCATCCGCAACCTTACATGAAAAAACGGTTAACCGCTAAAATATGGATACTGATCCTCGCATTAGTCATAGAACAGTGCGAAGTCGAACGCAGTTTGCAGGAGAAGGAGTTATATGTGGATGCCCTATTGGAGCAACTGTGACATTAGGATGACGGGGCACATGAATGTGAAATAACGCATGCTAATCGTACACCACTTTTACTTCATTATGCGATATACATAATATATTTCTGGTTTGCACTATTCCATACCTTCTTTTTTTTTTTTCTGCTGTCTTCTGCTGACTTCTGTTTACTTGTGCTTACTTTTGCTTTGTTTTGTTCTTTTTCTGTGTAGTCAACTTCTTTTAATATAACTATGGGGACACGGTGGTACCGGTTACATGCATATAAAATGTAGATTTCAATGAATAATATGAACGGCTAGTATTGTCCTTTATGTGAAGTTAATTATTAAAAGCTGAGCAAGTGCATTCTACTGGTGTAGTGCACAACTCATATAGCATGCGCCTAAGCCTTCGAGTATAAGGTGCTTGTCTCCGCGCAAACGCGTCGACCAACGCGGCCGCGTGTAAGAAGGCGCAGAGATTGTCTCTCCGAGCACACGCGGCCGCGTAAACCGCATTGTAGCCGCGTAATGCGACCGAGTGCAACACGGATTCGACGAAGTAGCCGAGTAAGCATTGTGCCGAGTGTAAAAACGGAGGGAGACTTTGTCTCTCCGCGCAAACGCGGCCGCGACAACCGCATTGTCGTCGAGTGTACGACAGCAGGAGGCTTGTCTGTCCGAGCAAACGTGGCCGGGTAAACGCGGCCGCGTGCACGAAGCAGGACCATTGTCTCCGAGCAAACGCAGGCCGAGTGAAGCAGATTGTCCGCGTAAGACGCCATATTGTCTCCGCGCAAACGCGGTCGGTCCGCGTGACGCGACTCGACGACGTGGCCGAGTGTAAGAACGGAGGGAGAGATTGTCTCTCCGAGCACACGCGGTTCGCCGACGTCACCGAGTGCAAGAACGGCGCGAGACATTGTCTCTCCGAGAAAGCGCGACGACCAACGCGGCCAAGTGTACAACGGATTCGACGCAGTACACGACTGTAAGAAGGACGAGACATTGTCTCTCCGAGCACACGCGGCCCGGTAAAGCAGATTGTCCGAGTAAGGAGTTTTCGAGGGAAGGATCCAGAGACGGAGCACAGAGCGGGGGGTGGAGGAGAAGGAATACACATATTATGTGGGAGGGCGCACAAGGACCCGCAACGACGGTAGCAACGACGGTAGCGACGGCAACGACGACGGAAGAAGAATTTTATGTTGTTGTTATTACTGCGGTTTTTAGGTGTACGCACAGAGAGACAGTGTGTGTGTCAAGGCGTTTAGTGGAGAACGGTGTAGAAAGTGGGCAGGCGGGCGTTATTCATGACGCGTTGTGCGCGTAGTGGTAGTGTAGTGTACTGCTTCTATTTTTTCCTTGCTTTTTTTTTTTTTTTTTGTTTCTTTTTTATTGTTTTTCCATTCCATTTTTAGAAGTGAGAATAAGTGTATTTTCGAAGGATCGCAGCATGGTCGAACGAACCACGTTGTTTGTATAAGAAAATAGTGAAGGATCAATATTCCTTTGCTCCTGTAAAAGCACCAGGGGGAACAAATTCGATTCATTGCAATACTTGTCCCACACAATTCTTATGGTTGCTTAGTGTAGTGGGAAATGTATAATGAGAACGGTTCATATAGTACATGGGCGTACCCACTACTATAGCACATGCACGCTATGAACACTAAAAATTTTTAATGTGGGGATAAGAGCACGAATATATGTGTATCCTGTTAACATGACTTATAAGTCACATAATGAAAGCATATTATGAATAGTGAATTGAAAGTACATGTACTAATATAATGGCGCAACGTCTGAAGAATGCACTGGTCAAATGGGCACAAGACAGGAAAATATGGAGCACGGAACAGTTCGATGTAGGTTTTAAACTTTTAGGGACGAGATTAGTAGAGGGAGAATAGGGAAATAATGAGGAGTTCGAACAGGTACATGTAGATTGAATGGAAGGCTACATTAGAAGAACGATATAAGGCACTTGAGCACAATGTCACATATTAATCGCTTCTTTCCCTTTATATACATTGTAGACGAAATTATGGGCAGATATGGAACATGTATTAAAGGCTTTTGTGAAACACATGGAGAAGATAGAGCACATCTTAGATGCGTATGCCACAAGCTGTGAAGATGCAGGTTGGAAGCGCAGAGGAGAAGCGCACAAGGGACACGTGTACACCGATCATTCAGTTGGGGATGTAATGAAATGCAAACTGATGGTTGCAGCATTATTTTTTGTCACTGGGTGGGGAAATGAAATGAACGATGATACGGGCGCATCGGCAAATGATAAGGACATGAAGGCTATTATGAGATGCATGGTAGCAGATGTTTTTGCGAATATATTGGCTGAAATAAAGTGTAAATATGAGTGGACTGGAATAGACAGGGCATGGGAAATCATGAGAGGCATGGGAAAAGCCGGTGGCGTCGAGAATCCAATTTCAAGTGGCACCTGTACGCTGGATGCGTATAAGGATACTAATATAGGCACAGGGGATTTACAGGGGGCGGTAAAAAACTGGTTGAACACAAGTAACAAGATACGTGATAGTATAAAACAAATAGAGCAGAACCCACAATGCAAAATAAAATGGGCACAGTACAAGAAAAGTATGGCACAGAGCGAAAACGATGCATTAGCAACAACAACAGCGACAGTGGATCAACGGGCAGGTGCCATGGGTAATGCTGGCATTGAAAAAGAAATAGTGAACGTGGTGAAGGACGTATTCGACAAGATGAAGGAAGAAGTAATACACAAGTCCAAGTCACCGCCAGAACTACAAGGAGCAGGTAAGGGCAGCAAGCATGCGATTTCTAACAATACATATACGCGGCCGCACACGGACCGTACGGTACAGATACGGCTAGATATGGAAGGCCACAACACGCACGGATGCCGCCACCACAACACCGCAACGGACGCAACACACACGCACGGGGGAACAGCAAGCGACTTCGGTGGAGCCGAGCACGGCGCATCTCCCTCGTTGAGCCGAGCGATCAGCGGCTACGACGGAAGCTGCCCCACTTCGGTTTAGCGGAGGCGTGCGGCGGCGGCCACGACGGTAGCGGTAGCGGTAGCGGCGACGAGGGATGTAGACGAGGTCTGTGTGCGGCGACCACTGTGTAGCGGCATCACACTGGTGTGACACTGGTGCGTGGGATGGAACGTCGTACACGACGGCAGTGGTAGCGGTAGCGGTAGCGACGACGTGTAGACGAGTGCAGACGAGGTGTGTGTATCGGTAGCGGCGACCAGGCACGGGAGACGAGATGAGGGATGCAGCGGGACGGCGGACGAGATGACGGCGACAAATAAAAGTTGTACTGCTACCATCTAGCCCAAGTTCACCGAGTACGCAGTCCACCGAGTCCACCGAGTCGACCCAACCCTACCCTGCCGCTACCTGATCGAACCACACCGTCCCGGCCCCCTTCTTTCTGTACCACTTGTGTGCTTTTGTTATCATCTTTCTACCATGTTTCTTGGGTTCCCCATCTTAGGTAAATCAAGTGCAGGACCCGAACTCGGGGATCCCGCACGAGGCAGGTCATTGCCGCCATCGCAACCACAAGCACCGGCATCTCCAGCATTACCAGCAAGACCACCACCACCACCTCCTCCGCAGAAGCCACCTACACCACCAGAGAGTGCAGCATCCGGTACAGGGACACCATCAACGGATACTGAAAACCCAGGTAAGTGCTCAACGGGACCTGCCGTACAGATATCTGTGAATGCAGGATTGGGTATGCCCGGTGCTACATCGACTACCACTATCTCCATTGCATCGGGTGCCGGAGCTGATGATGAATGCGGGCAGAAGTCCAAGGCCTCGAGCGAAGGTAGTGTCCTGAGTGAATTTCGACAACAAAGACAAAGAAAAAAAAAAAGAAACAACAATTTCCGCAGAGAGGAGAAAAAAAGAAACAACAACAATTTCCGCAGAGAGAGAGAGAGACACCACGGAGAGAGAGCCAGAGAGAGAAACCAAACGTCGAATGAGAGTGACCGGCACAGCGTGCCGGGGACAGCCAGGCGAGCGAGTAAGCCGCCGCGCGATGTAGACGTCGACAGACGTCGATGTAGACGCAGACATCGACAGATGTCGACACCCACACTGTTTGTGTTGTGTGTTGTGTGTCGGAGAGAGACAGAGTCTTTTCCCCGGGGTGGCACCGTAAGCACCGTTCGCACCGTGGCCACCCATCAGAGACGGATCAAAACAACCATGCACCGTACAACGACACTGAGCCATGGGCAACCGTGTAGCCGACCGTGGTCAACGATCGGTGGAACCGTGTTGTCGAACACAACCATCCATGCGAAACATAACTGCAGTTTCATCATACTTCCACCATCTTCCTTTTCTTCATTTTAACTCATAGGTACTGTGGCTAAGGACGATAATGTAGATTCAAACCAGGCACCAGCAGCAAAATCACTGGAACCATCCACAAGAACATCCAGTGATACTACCATACTGGACAGGATGAATCCACAGAACCCTGAGCCCCCCTCCCCTGATTCACCCGGATCAAATCATCCAAGGGACTATGATCCACATTCAACCGGCTTTTGCTTCCTCGACAGTAGTGGTGCGGAATGCCAGGATTTGACCAAATCCTCTGCTACTGGTCCCTATTCCGTCTTCGGTGAAACGGAAAAGACTGTTGATCCTCCCTCTTGGACAGGTGATAGTGATATGTTTGACATAGATACCTCTAAATATCCCTTGGATTTATCGCCCACTAAATGGAATAGGACCTACAATAAATGCAACGGGGCAAACTGTGATCCTCATATATCACCAGGCTATGTACCAGGATTAGATGATGTTGCGAATGGATTTGTACCACCGATTCCAGCAGATGGAACACTCAGTTCATCGGGCGGTAACCAAGGTGGGAAGGATGATGGTTACGCTGTCCCTGACCTAACCGCCGACGTCCTTACCGCCACTACTCCGATTCTCTTCTTCCTGTCCGCCGTCATCGTCGCTCTTCTTGGTTATTCGCTTTGTAAGGTAAGTATATACGACAATCAGGGAATCCCGCACGTGCATCCGTACTATGTACCATAGCAATGTGTTCCGCAGGGGCCTCTTAAGACCATTCTAACACAAATACACTCTTCTACATCGTCCTCGTTCTTTTTTTTTGTAGTACTTTGCGTACCTCGGAACAAAACGACGACGAAAGTTTCGCACCGTGCGTGACGTGCCGTCACCGCCACTCGACGAAGACATATTGCAACATCTACAACGCGGCGAGCCGCCGCCACCCGATTATGGGTACACGATGGTTAGGGATACGCAGCCCGGCAAATTGCCCGCCGACCGACGCGCACAACGCCCACCACGCGTGCATACACGCACGATTATCGACCTACATCTAGAAGTGCTCAACGACTGTGAAGCGACAAATTGGGAAAACGTCAAAGACGACTATTGGAAGATTGTCGTGGAGGAGTTTGCACACGAGTTGATGCGCGCTGCACACGGGCACAGTAGTTCCTTGGATGCTCCTACCACAAACCAGGCTTTATCACGGAACACTCTTTCAGCCAACGTGCACCCACCCACTGACACCGCTGTAACGGATGCATGTCCACCACATGACCCCGATCCATGGCGTTGTATGGAAACCATGAAGTTCGAAAGGGACCGTTGTCCACCGAATGAAGAGGACCCCGATCCATGGAGTTGTATGCAAAACATACAGTTAGCAATGGACCCTTCTGCACCGAATGAACACGACCCCGATCCATGGAGTTGTATGGAAACTAAACAGTTAGCAGCGGACCCTTGTCCACCGAATGACCCCGATCCACGGAGTTGTATGGAAACTATACCGTTAGCAACGGACACTTCTCCACCGCATGAAGAGGACTCCGATCCTTGGAGTTGTATGGAACACATACAGTTAGAAACGGACCGTTGTCCACCTAACAAAGAGCACCCCGATCCATGGCGTTGTATGGAAACCATACGGTTAGCAACGGACCCTTGTGCCCCTAATGAAGATAATCCCGATGCATGGAGTTGTATGGAAAACATACAGTTCGCAACGGACCCGTTTCCACCGAATGAAGACGACCCCGATCCATGGAGTTGTATGGAACCCATACAGTTACCAACGGAACCTTGTCCACCTAATGAAGATGACCCCGATCCATGGAAGTGTATGGAAACTATACAGTTAGCCACGGACACTTGTGCACCGCATGACCCCGATCCATGGCGTTGTATGGAATCCATACAGTTAGCAACGCACCCTTGTCCACCGAATGAACACGACCCCGATCGTTGGCGTAGTATGGAAACTATAGAGTTAGACACGGACCGTTCTCCATCTAACGAGCAGGACCCATGGAAGTGTTTGGAAACTATACAGTTCGATGCAGAACAGAGTCGTTCCCAACCAGTGGCGACACGTGACATGCGGGCCCCCGACCACACTAATTGGATTAACTGGATTCACCGCAACAAACATATTCTGCGGGCGTGCACGACGCAAACATGGTTGTTGCAGCTAACGTTGGCATGGAAACAATACCTGCTTGCACACATGGTGGCAAACGAACACAACGGGCACCGTGCATTCGGTGAAGCTGCAATCCTGCCGATGATGAAACTGCGGTTGTGGAAAGAATGGGTAGCGCAACAACACGGGAACATCAGTATGTATGGCCAGGAGGCGCGGTTCCAACATTTGTTGAATAGTGTAGAGGAAGAGACAGTAACGGCAACAGGCGAAAGCCCTGGAGTGGAAAAAGACTTAGAGGTGGAAAAAGTAATGGCCGCAGAAGATATACTCAGAGTGAAAGTTGTACCATGGTCGCAACTGCAACCGCAACCTTACATGAAACAACCGTTAACCGCTAACATATGCATACTGCTCCTGGCATTAGTCATAGAACAGTGCGAAATCGAGAGTAGCATGCAAGATACGGAGTTATATGTAGATGACCTATTGCTACAGTGTTCACATTAGCATGACGGCGCTCATGACTGCGAAATAACGCATGCTCACAGTACACCACTTTTACTTCATTATGTGATATACATAGTATATTTCTTGTTTGCACTATTCCATACCTTCTTTTTTTTTCTGCTCTGTTCTGCGTACTTGTGCTTACTTTTGCCTTGTTTTGTTCTTTTTCTGTGTACTCAACTTCTTTTAACATGACCATAGGAACAGGTGCGTACCGGTTAAATGCATATAAAATGTAGATTTAAATGAATAATATGAAGGGGCAGTATTCTCCTTTATGTGACGTTACTTATTAAAAGCTGAGCAAGTGCATTCTACTGGTGTAGTGCACAACTCATATAGCATGCGCCTAAGCCTTCGAGTATAAGGTGCTTGTCTCCGCGCAAACGCGTCGACCAACGCGGCCGCGTGTAAGAAGGCGCAGAGATTGTCTCTCCGAGCACACGCGGCCGCGTAAACCGCATTGTAGCCGCGTAATGCGACCGAGTGCAACACGGATTCGACGAAGTAGCCGCGTAAGCATTGTGCCGAGTGTACGAAAGGAGGAGCATTGTCTCTCCGCGCAAACGCGGCCGCGTACACCGCATTGTCGTCGAGTGTACGACAGCAGGAGGCTTGTCTCTCCGAGCAAACGTGGCCGGGTAAACGCGGCCGGTCCGAGTCAGGAGGCTCCGACGCCGGATTGTCCGCGTGCAAGAACGGAGGGAGACATTGTCTCTCCGAGCACACGCGTCGAGCCACGCGGCCGAGTGTAAGAACCATTCGACGAAGTAGCCGCGTGACAGAGAAGCGTTGACGGGAGAGGCGTTGACGGGAGCGGCGTTGATGGACAGACGCGTTGACGGAGAGAAGCGTTGACGGGAGAGGCGTTGACGGAGACACGTTGACGGGAGACGGCGTTGACGGAGAAAGGGGTGACGGAGAACGGGGTGACGGAGACGGTGTAACGGACAACCGTTGACGCCGAATTATTGACGGGAGTAGCGTTGACGGAGAGAAGCGTTGACGGAGAACGGGGTGTATGTATATTTTTGCTTGTTGTTGTTGTTATTGAGCGGTGTGCAGTAGTAGTAGTGGTAGTCGTGTACTTTTTTTTTTAAAAAGGGGAATAATAACGTGTTCAATATGGTCGGGCTTTTTGCGGACGACATACTGCATTTCCTATGGTCATGGGAGGATTATCTAAAGCACATGAACATCACGGATGCGCAGACATATTGGGTAAGTCTTATTATCGAGGAAATTCAGAGAGTGGCCGAAATAACACATTTACGGGGACCTATGTATGTATTCGGCATAGGGACCACTATGTGTGTGTGAATTTTTTATATAAGCAATATGGACATGAGGCGACCGCGGTATTTAAACGAGACGGGAGACATACATACTGTGTGCACAAACCAACATGACAGTGTGCGTACCTGCAGTAAAATATAGAACTAAGGCGCCGTACACAGTATGCATACATGTATGAATTATTGCACTCACAGCAAAAATTAATGCAAGCGGTTGATGACATATTCCAAGAGTTACTCAGCAAAATTGGCGAGCCCAACGGCACAATCTCTGGCTTCTGTGGGGAAATATATGATTCGAATGCGACATGCATAAAAAGGTGTCGGGAAATTGTAAATTTAATGCTATACATGAGAGGGTATGAACATAAAGGGACACAGGGATTGCAGCGACGGACAGTAGACCAGGCAGATTGGACGGCCTTTCAGGAATATTTAAGATGTGTGCTAGCAGGAGAGGCTTTAGTACGACTCTATGGCAGGAATAGTGATCATGTGGACGTAATGAATAAGGTTAAACAGGAGTTAGCACACGGGAAAACATTTGTGAAGCAGAAGCTAGAAAGTGGAATATGTGAAAACAGAGATTGGGGGAAGGTGATATTCCAGTCACATCGTATGGGAACGGCTTTACAGAATCGATTAAACAGCTTGCGTAAAACGTGGACAACAGCAAAAGTACCGGCTCGGCGCGCATCAGGGACATGTGGATGGGATGATGCACAAGACGCTGATGAAGACGGGAAACCGCACAGTGACGACACATGTAATGCAAACGAAGGGGTGGTGACGCAGGAGAATGAGCTCATGAAGGAAATAAAGGGCTGGGTACCAATTGGTCCCTTTCCACACGTGCAGAAGGTGCTAGAGGACATGCAAAAAAATGGGGTGTCTAAGGAGAAATGTGAACTTGAGCAGAAGATAAGGAACGGGGTCAAGACAGTGAAGGACAGAGTGAATCCACCGAAGAAATCACAGCCACCGGAGAAACCGGCCGGTGCTAACGGCAATCCGCGCGGCCCTGTCCAAACAGTAGGGGCGACACCGGTATCACCACCGGGAAGTGGGACGCCGACGTCGCCATCTGGTGGTGGTGGTGGTAAGGGTGGTGCTACCGGAGGAGGGCAGGGGCAGGGCAAGGCTGGACTAGGACAGCATTGTGATGGCGACTTCGCACGGCAGCGCCTGCGTAGCGCAGTGTATGTGGTGCCCCCACGTGATGTAAGTTAGATTACACTGAGAGAGCAGAGATGCACAGGAAACAGTAACAACAAACAGAACAGGAAGTTGTTCATACGGGCACGTGCACATATATGTGAGGATGTCTATGTATTTATGTGCAACCATATAGATCACACGTGCCCATGGGCACTTTTTTAATGTCCATGTGCAACATGTAGGATAACGCATGGAACAAGTGGAAGCAAGTGTTGCAGGAATTTACGGCACATATGGAGGCATACAACGACCTCAATGAATCATTTGGTGCCAATTGTTATAATGTAGGTTGGGATGATTTCGGTCATGGTCACCTACATACGGCACAAACAGTGGCAGATGTCGTACGGTGCAGAGTTATGAGTGTTGCATGGGC